AGCTGCAGCCCACAGCTGGGTGCCCAAGTGCAGCCAGCTGCAGCCCACGCCCGGGTGCCCAAGTGCAGCCAGCTGCAGCCCACGCCCGGGTGCCCAAGTGCAGCCAGCTGCAGCCCACAGCCGGGTGCCCAAATGCAGCCAGCTGCAGCCCACGGCCGGGTGCCCAAGTGCAGCCAGCTGCAGCCCACGGCCGGGTGCCCAAGTGCAGCCAGCTGCAGCCCACGGCCGGGTGCCCAAGTGCAGCCAGCTGCAGCCCACGGCCGGGTGCCCAAGTGCAGCCAGCTGCAGCCCATGCCCAGGTCTGTCTCAGACTCAAGACCCACAGCCACCTGCCAGCCAGGGCCCTGCACGGAACCTGGGAGGGAGCAGCTCAGGGACCCTGGCATTCCTAGGCTTGGGCTCAGTGTGGAAGGGGCAGTGGGAACAGAACGTGGGTGGGGTCCTGCTGCCTGCATGTGCTGCCCGTGAAGGTCTTATTTTTATCATGGCTGGGAATGAGGAGGTCATGGCCACGGTGGGGTCGATGCCTTGCCCCAGCTGCCCCAGGCCTGCAGCTCAGCTCCCAGCCGCTCACACAGGCCAGGGCCTCTTGACCTCTCTGGGGCGACCATGTCCATCTGTGTCCATGCAGGCCTCCCTCTGGAGCCCCCGTGCCTAGCTGGTTCCTGATGATGACCCTGTCACAGCCTGCTTGAAGCTGGGCCTCATTTGGGTTATACCCTATCCCCTGCCTGACACACAGATGCACTACAGGGACTTTCCAGGTGTCATGGCCCCGAAGTCCATCCCCGTGACGAGACCCTGGACCACGGCTCTGCTGTCCCCCAACAATACCCATCCACGTGGCGGTCCTGGACTTCACTGCATCAACCAGCTTGTCTCACACACACGAGACAGAAACAGGAGAGAGAAATACATCTTCCTGGAATCGAATGTTAGCAGCTGAAGGATCATCAAGGAAAATAAACACACATCTCCGTTTCAACGAACCCTGGAGGAGGCAGCCTTGGGACCGCCCTCTCCAGCACACTGCGCCCAAGATGCAGGAGACAGGCCTCCTGTCGGATGGAAGCCGCCGTTCACATCCCCAGGCACACACAGCGGAGAGCGCTCGCGCCTGCAACTCCAGCGCCTCCTCATGCCCCTCGATCTCCATCAATCTCTGTCTGTCAACCACACCTCTAATGGCTTTTAAATGAGCATTTTATTTGGAATGTTTTGCAGGCCATGCTGAAGCTGCCAACAGCAGGGGGTACCGCTCTGCGTCTGCTGTGGGCCTGCGGGGGGCAGGCTGGCCTTGCCTTGCCTTGGCATCTGGCCTAGGCAGGGGTCCAGCAGCCGGGTTGGCCTCACTGGGGGCTGGCCAGTGGGTGGGGAGACCTCTGGGTGGTTGGGACTGCTGGCCTTCCCTTGGCCTAGCTGCCATATCTGTGGGGAGAGGGGGAGCTGAGCCCAGGAGGCTGGGCACTTGGCCTATCATGGGCCTTGGCATGCCCACAGGGATGTCCACCACAGGCAGGCCAGGGGGTATCCCTCTTGTGGGGTACACCAGGCCAGCAGGGGGAACCCCAGGGCGTCGTGGGCTCTGTGGCGCTCTGGATGCCTCCCGGGGTCAGAGCACCCACACTGACTACCAGGGCCTTATAAGATTTTCACTATGAAGGGGGGTCCACAGAAGTGGCCCATATATATTTTCAGCCTGGAAAATCTCAGGTACTCTTTCCTACAACATCAATCACCAAGTCCCCAGCCCTCCCAGCCGGCCCCTCTGCAGTGGGAAAGCTTTAGCTGTTTGTCGCTTTATGTGTAGGCACTGCTGCTGAAGGAGACCAGATGGTCCCGATGCCACGGGGGGGGGCCCTCGACCCCTATTGGAAACCAGAGGGAGTGCGGTTGGGCACGAAATTAGTGCAGGTCAGAGCAGGCGGCCTACGGTTCCCTTTAGGTCACCAGCTTATCACTATAATATGAAACCCCTGTCCTAAGAGAAGACTGCCACTATGTTGTACACGCAGTGAACGAAGCCCTGTGCTCACAGACTGCGTCCACGCGTCTGGAACCCTCCTTGCGCCTGCATGCCTCCCCTGCAGGCACCCAACCCCAGGAAACTCCCACACCTCCCCCTTCCCAGGGAGAAGCTGCCTCAAGGCATGAGCTCTTTCCCGGTTCCCAGACTCAATAGAACTGCTGCCTCTCCCATTGGACGTTCTTCCTTCATGACCGATATGAAGCAGGAGAGGACAGTTTCCTGGGGTCAGCACATGTCCAGCCATGTGCCCTCACTGGGACTGGAGGTCAAGGCCCCATTGGGTCTCCCTGAGCATCCCCACTGCCCTTTCTGCCCCTGTGCCTTCCCCATTACAGACGAGGAGCTGACAGCTTGCAGACGGCACAGCCCGTGGGCTCTGGGTAAGCCCTGCCCAGCTTCTGCCAGGGGCCATCCTGGAGGTGCCAATGCCCAAGGGCCTGACCCTTGCTCTACGGTCCTGCTCTCCCCTTGGACACAGTGGCAGCTGTCCATCCCATCTGCACCTCTGGAGCATCACATGTGAGTGTGTAGGTGTGCGGGAGTGTCAGTGTGTAGGAGTGTGTGTGAGTGTGTCAGTGTGTGTCAGGGAGTGTCAGTGTGTGTGTGGAGTGTGTCAGTGTACGGGAGTGTGTGTGTGAGTATGCAGGAGTGTTTGGGAGTGCCAGTGTGTAGGAGTGTGTGTGTGTGTGCAGGTGTGTCAGTGTGTGTCAGGGAGTGTCTGTGTGTGCAGGAGTGTGGGAGTGTCAGTGTGTAGGAGTGTGTGCACGCATAGGAGTGTGTCAGTGTATCAGTGTGTGTCAGGGAGTGCCAGTGTGTGCATGTGCAGGAGTGTGTGTGAAGGGGGTGTGTGAAAAATGTGAATGTGAGGGAGTGTGTGTCAGTGTGCAGGAATGTGTGTGAATGTGTGGGAGTGTGCAGGAGTGTGTGTGTGAATGGAGTGTGTGGGCAGGGGCTTACACGCACCCCGGTCAGACATCCCGCTCTCCCAAAGCTGTAGAAACACCTGGGAAAGGCGCCAGCCTATTGAAACATGTTTCTCACGAGTGTGTAGGGGGCACACGGAGGCTGTCCTCTCTCCCTAGGGCAGGTGTGACCCCAGGCTACAGAAGAGATGGGGGACAGCGTCTGGTTTCTCACATCTGTGTGGGCCTCACTGACAGCCCTCATGACCCAGTCATGGTCGTGGGATCACCTCTCCAGCTGAATGGCAGAGCCAGGGCTGGGCAGCTCCTCTGCAGAGCCTTGTCTGAGCGGAGTGGATACTCATTCACTGGAGGGCAGCGGGGCCTCCACGGACCCTGCAGTCCTGGGGTGAAGGTGCTGGGACTGACTGCAGCTCATTTGGAGCCCTGTCCATTTTGGCTGATATCACTCTAAGAATGTTTATGTAAATCCTGCATCGAAAATCCCAGCCTGTTCCAACCGTGCCAGCCCTCACCCCATCTCAGATCCTCTGAGCCCGAGGCTGTCATCATCCTCCCATCTCACAGATGAAAGGCACTGCAGCTGGGGCTAACGCCCTCTGTCTGTGCTAACCCCGGGGTCCACCTGGCCTTTCCCCCAAGCCACACGGCTGCTGAGAGTTACCTCCCACGTGGCGTCTCTGCCCCCATGTGTTACCCTGAGCCCCACCCCCTTACAATTCAGGAATTCCCAAGAAAACCCCTTTGTGCTCTAGTTAGAAAGGCAGAGACAAAGACCTCACAGGTGAGTCCTGGCTTCTGGAGCCAAGGTGGAGATGGAAGGCACTGGGGGTCCCACAGCCCCAAACCTGGAAGGAGAACCTGCTACTTCCTTGCCAGCCCCAGCCCCAAAAGTGTCACCAGGAAGTCCCGGTGACAGGTTAGCAGCCTCAGCTTGAGGCAGGGACCCCTCACACCCCAGCACCTCCAGAGCTCGAGGGCTGTGACGCACTCAGAAGCTGCTGACTTGGAGCAAGAGAGCTGAGGCCAGCAAGATGGAGGCACTGCCAGAAAGTGGTGCTGCGGCCTCTGGCAATGAGCCTCCCTCGGGCAGGTCCCTGCTGGCTCTGAGCCCAGGGAGGTGGCTCTACGGCTCCTGGGAGCCAAACGCCTTAGAGGGTAAATTGCACCTGGAATGACGCTGGCCTCTGTGATCACAGTATAAGCAGGAGGCAAGTGGGCCTGGGGGTGGGAGAAGGCAGGCGAAGCCCTGTCCTGGGAGCCTGGGAACTCAAGGTGCTGCTGGTGGGGTGCTGGCAGTGCCAGGAGCTGGTGGCAAATCTTCAGGGACACACAGCCCCGCCCTGGAGTGGCCCCTGCGCTTGGCAGGCTTCAGAGCAGAAGCAGGCCCCTGGCCTCACCTCTGCCCAGGGCCACCCTCTGGGGTCTGTCTCTGAGTGGGGTGGGCACCTGAGACAATGGGGTGGAGGGAGGGCTCTGTCACAAAGCCTGTGGGGCCACAGGACAGGGTAGGAGCGGGGAGTGGATGGAACGCAGCACCCACCAGTGGCCCATACATTTGCTGTGATGGTCTGGGGCTGTGTCAAGTGTTGCTGCTCTGTGCCTCCTTTGGCATAGCCAGGCTGCTGCAGCCTGGGTGGGTTGGGTGGGCCTCCTCTAAGGCACGAGGCCTAGAAGGGGTGGGTTTCAAGGCAGGCATGTGTGTTCAGATCCTGAGAGGGGCCGTCAGAGCACCTCAGACCCTGAGTGCCGCGCTGGCTGGACCCGGAGACCCAGGGGCCAGTCCCTGCTTTTCTGAGCCCTTCACATATGGCCGCACTTGCCAGCAGGCCCTGTCCTGGAAATCTCACAAGGACTCACCCATAGCAGCTGGTGGTGAGAGCTCTGGAGCCTGCTTTGCCGAGTATCTCCCACAGCAAGAGAGAGACCTGGGGGAGGCTTCCAATCACCCCTGACTGTGCCACTGGAGAGCCTCCCAGCAGCTCCTGTGTGTGTCCTGGGGGAACCAGGGGCTCACCCACCGGCGCGCAGACCCTGCCCCGCCTCACCTCTCGGTCCAGGCCAGCCGCCACCGTGACAATGTCTCCGGTCTCGCTGTTGATGGTGAACATGTTCTGAGATGGGCTCTGTGGGGTCTGTGTCAAGATCCGGTACCGCACCATCCCGTTGGCCGTGGTGCTGTCGTCAGCATCGTTGGCCGTGACGGTCATCACGTAGGTGCCTGGAACAGAGACAGCAGCTCAGATGGAGACGGCCTGCCACACAGGCTGCTGCCCCCGTGCACACCCGGGCAGAGCCCCCTCGGCAGCAGAGCTCTCTGTGAGTCTGGCGTAGTGGAGCCCCCTTCCTTTGTGTGCCCAGAGCTGGTGTTAGTGCACCTGCCACCTCTGCCACGCAGGATTGGAGATCCCCACCTTGTAGAGTCATGGGGCTCTAGACTCTGTGCATGATTGCTGTAGGGCCCCGGGCACTCAAGCTTCTAGAATCTTATTCTAGAGCTTGAGGTTCCTTTGAGGTCATCTGATCTGACCTCTTCTTTTCTCAGCTGGGGAAAGACCGGGCCCCAGAGGGGGAAGGGCTGCTCTAAGCTTCCAGAGCACAGGGCAGCAGACCAGGCCTGGGGCCAGGCAGCCTGAGGCCCTCACAGTCGGTCATTCTCCAAGGTATCTCCAGTCCTGCATGGGGCCCAGCCTGGCTGGGCTTAAAGGGAGGGACTCAGAGGCACTGCAGCAGGGCCTGGTGTGGGTCTGGGCACACAGAAGCTGTATAATAAACACCTGCAGAGGACACAGTGGCAAACAAACCAATCCGGGACCCCTCAGCAGGGAGGATGTGTGTATGGGTCTCAGGCAGATGTACATCTGGGGAGCCATGGGACCGGGGGCCGTCTGCATTTCAGAGCCGAGGTGGACTGAAAGGGGCTGGGTGGGCTGCCAATGTGTTCCCTCAGCTCGATGCCTGTTTCCCCATGTGAACATTGGCGCTGAGGTCTGTAGTGCACACTGTAGGGCCCATTGCATACTTTCTGAGAAGGGTACTTGGGTTTCCTTTGGCCGTGCAGCCTTTCCTGCCTTGGGGAGGGCCTGGATCAGCACATCACCCAACCCAGGTGTGAGGGTGACCCTCTGCTGGGGGCAGAGGTGAGTGGGGACTGCGGTCGCTGCTTACTGAGCACCTACTGTGCTGGCTTCGTGCCGGTGGGGGCCCTGCTCTGCAGCTCCTAACTGCTGTCTCCTGACGCTGGCGCAGCAGACGCTCCCACCTGGAAGTCCTGGGGCTGGACTCTAGCCGCCATGTTCCGGGGTTCCCGGTGGGCTCTGCACACATGTGTGCTCCACTCACCCTGATGGCTGCCTGAGATGCCCAGAACCTGGGAGCTCCAGTGCCCGGGGCCCTGCCGCGTTCACGCTCAGAGGAGAGCTGCTGCTGCCCTGCTGGGCCCCGGGGATGGTGTGGCCTCTGCCCTCATGGTGCCTCCCCTGGCTGATGGGGCTGCCAGTCATGCAGGGACCCCAGAGAGATCGGAGGTGCGTGTTCCTGTGTGTGTGAGATGAAGGACTCTCGCCACGCCAGCCCTGGGATCGTGTACAATCTGTCCTGTGTCTGGAACATTCTTCCCCCTCCTCCACCTGGCCACCTCCTCCTCCTCCCCAAAGCCCCTTCCTGGCCCTCCGGACTGAGTCATGAGGCCCTGTGCATCCTCATCCAACCTGCATCAGAACAGCTGTGTGTCTGCTTAATGCCTTTGTCCTCTGTGGTATCACAGCTCACACAAGGGTGGGGCTGGGTCCGTGCTGTCCCTACAGCCTGGCATACAGATGCCCTGCTGGACTTTTGCCAACTGTACCAGAAGCCCAGGGTGCGGTGTGGCCTCATGCTCAGGAGGCAGGGTCTGTAAGGAGCCTGAAGCTACTTCTTATTTCCAGGACCCCAGAGCAGGCAAGGAGCGTTCTCCCTCCACCCGTCTCCCACTTCACCCTCTCTCTTCAGCCTGGCAGGGAAGACCCCAAATCTGGCCTTCCACCGGGCAGGACAAGCCCAGGTGGGATGCAGGGGCCCTTGGGTGTGTCTGACTAGGAGTGTGCTTCAGCGTTCAGCTTCTGCTGAAAGAACGCAAGATTCTCAAAGCAGAAACGTTTCGTGAAAACACAGAAGAGCAAGCAGAGGCAGGAGGATGTCTCTTTAGAGGGCGTGGTCTCCATCTCCTCCTCTGCAGTCGGGATCATGCTGTTGCACCCTAAGGCAGGTGCTGGACACTGCCGGGGGGCAAGGATCATCGGGGCAGGGTCCCCAGTTCCAGAGGCTGATGGTCACCAGGTCGCGGCCCCTCCCCACACACTTGCTTACTGCATACGCACATGTATTTTATTGAACTGCAATTCACACACCATACAGGTTGTTCTTTAAAGTGCTCAACTCAGTGGTCTTTTTTTGACAGTATATTCACAAAGTTGTGCAGCTACCACCGGCATCGAATTCCAGAACATTTTCATCATTCCGAAAACAAATCTATCCCCGCCCGTCAGCAGTCACTCCTTCCGCTTCTCCAGACACTGGCAACCACTCATCCACGTCCTGTCTCCGTGGATTCGCCTCTTCTGAACACTTCATATAAATGGAATCATACAATATGTGGCCTTTTGTGTCTGGCTTTTTAGAGTTAACCTAATGTTTTCATGGTTCGTTCCTTTTCATGGCTGAATAATATTTCATTGTTTTATAGTCACTCTACGATTAGCGACTAAGCAGTTGCCACGTGCCAGACATCATGTGCTGTGCATATGTACAGCAATGAGAGCAATCAGACACACACAGTGCCTAATCCTTATGCATTGGTGAGGGAGACAAGACAAACCGGTAAATAAGGTAAAACTGTCGGTGATGATAAATGCTTTGCGGGAATATGACATGCAGGCACGGCCCACTGTGGAGCGGAGCTGCTGAGAAGGCAAAGGCAGAGGAAGCAGAAAGGCCTCTCAGAGGAGGAGGGAGTGAGAGTGAGGCAAAGGAGGAGGATTCTGGGCAGAGGGGCTGAGGCCTGGGGCAGGGAAGAACTCTGCGGGTTTGAGGAACAAAGAGGGGAAGGAGCGTGTGACGGGTTGAGGGGTGGGCTGGGCCCATGGTGAGGACTGTGGACTTCCTTCTAAGATCACAGGGAAGCCAGTTCTGTGTTTTCATCAGGGGAGTGAGGTATGCAGTTATCACTGTTAAGACCTGCATAGAAAATAGACTGTGGGTAGTCAGGAGTCCTGGGAGGCGGGGGTGGAGGAGGCGGCGGCACATTCATTCACTGGATTTTATAGACAATTTGGTTGTGATCAGACCATGAAGATGTTGCAAGCAGGGTCCATCCACTAAGATACTGGCTCCTTCACTCAAAACATCTTCGTTAAGTGTCTTCCAGGGAAAACATTGAGAGCTTGTGTTTTTTTAAAAGCCATAAGAAAAAGCATCTCCAAATAGACCTGCTTTACTTCATGAGATGGATACATTTCCAAAGAACTGTGTATAAACCCAACTTTAATGAATATAATTATCAACAGAATTTCCCCAGAGTCACTAGTTATTTAAAAGAAACCCAGGAGATCCTGTTTTTAGAAAATGGTGGACAATGTCGTTTTAAACTAATATTCCTCCCAAGGAAAACTAGAAAAGCTGGACAAAACAGAGACCTAAAACATTGGTGTAAAAGCACCAGCGAGCTACCACATGCCAGGATGTGTGGGACTGATGAAAGGAGAGCCCGACACCTGGGCCATCTTTTGTCTTAGGGCATTTGTGGCTTCTAAAACTGGCTATGGCTGTGCTGAAGGGCTTTCAACAGATTTATAGGCACGGGAATCAAACACTGGGCTGAGGGCTTGTCAAAGAGGAAACATCCTGGTCTACCCTCTAGCCCAGCAGAATTAGATTCTGGTGGTAGTTGCACAACTTTGTGAATATACTAAAAAACCCACAAAATTGAGCACTTTAAAGAGCAATCTGTATGGCATGTGAACTATAGTTCAACAAAATACATGTATTTATGCAGTAAGCAAATGGGTGGGAGGGGCTGCAACCTGGTGCCCATCAGCCTCTGGAACTAGGGACCCCATCCCGATGATCCTTCCCTGCCTCGTGGTGTCTCCACTGCATTAGAGCTCAACAAGCCTGCTCCCAACCATACTTCCTTCTGCAGATGAGGAGATGGAGCCTGCACCCTCTAAAGAGACGTCCCCCTGCCTCTGTGCTGGCTTTCCTCTGTATTTTCCTAAGAGGCAAACCTTGAAGTGCAGCACCCTGGGAATGAGGGAGAGCTGGGAAGAAAGAGTCCTAACAGAAGCACAGAGCTAATCACAGTGACTTAGGTTAGGGTTGTCTGTGATTGTTAGTGTCTCCTACCAGCAGCAAAAAGAAATCGTTCATGGAGAGAGATGACATCCCACATAGCCTCCAATGATGTCTACAATTCTTCACCCACCATGGACTGCATTGGATTAACTAGGCACACAAGGAGACAAAACCTGACTGAAAACAACAAGCACTAATCGGAGTATTGATCAGGCGTCCAAGTCTCTGCCTGCTTTTTGGTTAAAAATAATTGTACCCTTCACATTTGATGCAGGCAAAAATATCCCCATTTCCATTTGGTGGAGTTTTTGCAAAAATAGAATGTCTTCCTCACAGAGAAGAGCCTGGACATTCTGAGACGGCCCGAGTCATTGGAACTCAGCTCACCGGGGCAGGTGCATCGTTCCTTGAGTCGCCTTAGTTTAACACCCCTCCCCCATGGTAAGGACTGCTCATTAGAGGCTTGTAGTGGCTCTTATCACACTAGCTCTTCATTAACTCAAGACAGAAGTGGCTTTAAACTAGTGCCACGGTGCCCTCCTCTGCCTACCTCCTGCCTCAAGATACAAATCCTGCACTTAGAGCTGTTGGCCAGCTCCAGGGCACAGGAGGAAGGACCTGTGGGGAGGAGGAAACATGATGAGCACCCAGGAATCCCCCACTTTACTTGGGCTCAATTTTATCATAAGCTCTCTCTCTTTTTTTGACAGAGTTTTGCTCTGTCACCCAGGCTGGAGTGCAGTGGCATGATCTTGGTTCACTGCAGCCTTCACCTCCCAGGTTCAAGCAATTCTTCTGCCTCAGCCTTTCAAGTAGCTGAGATCACAGGTGTGCACCACTACACCTGACAAATTTTTGTATTTTTAGTAGAGATGGGGTTTCTCCATGTTG